GGAGGAGGCAGACGAGGACCTGCTGTTTGAGTGAAGCCCCCCCATCTAACCCCTGCAGCCTGACACTCATCATCCTGCTATTTATTCTGTGCCTCTCTGGCTGTGTTTCAGACAAATGATGAGAGTGATTTATTTCATCTTAACTTCCTGTTATGATGAAATAAAATCCTGGTTTGCATCAAATTAAGCAGCGAGTTTTTACTCATTGGCGCTAAATCTAAAGTCAACAACTTTTCCCTCACAACTGACAGTTCTCTGGTCTCTCCAAGCCCTCAGGTTAAAAGTCTGGCTGTCGTTCCTGACAGTACTCTTTCTTTTCAACTGCAATTCTCTCCTGGTTGCACTGCCTCAAACATATATCCGTAACCTTCAGCTGGTTCAAAACTCTGCAGCTTGCATCATTAGGAAAACGGCCGCGTTTCACCACATCACTCCAAGTTTACAACAACTTCACTGGCTTCCTGTTGCATTCAGAATTCAGTCTAAAATCTGTTGTTCACATTCAAGGCAGTTCACAACCTTGCCCCTCCTTTTCTGTCTGATCTTCTGCATGTCACCACCCGTTCCCTTCGCTCTTCCTCTTCCCTCCGCCTCAGTGTGTCTCAGCACCCTGGGGAAAGAGCCTTCTCTTACCCAACATCATCTGGACTTTCCTAATCTGTTTAATTACTCAGTGACATTAATTTGTATAAACTTCTCAGAAAATAAACACAAATACGGCATTCAGTAAATAGACAATTAGATGTTTTCTACCTGATTTAGTATCATGTTTAATAAGGTGTAAGTAAATATCTGTTTGTCTTTGGGTGGATAGGAAGTTCATGTTGGTCTGTGGAAGGTGTGTGTGAAGCCGAGCACTGGACCGCAGGTGTGTGGAACGTATGAAAGCACCCTGAATGTCTCACCGCCTCATTCCACCCGGGCCTTGACCGTCATCAGCTGCATGCTGGGTGTTCTCAGCCTCGTCGTCCTGTTCTTTGGTTCCGACTTCACCACATATGTCCAGAACGACACCAAACCCAAATTGATAAGGGCAGCTGGAGGGGGCCTGCTGGCGGCCGGGATGCTGGTGATCATCCCGGTCATCAGGGAGATAAGTGGTGGAGTGGGATTGACAAAGGGAGCGAGCATCTACATCGGCATCCTAGCTGGTTTGATGCTGATTGTGACTGGAGGTGTGCTCAGCTACTTAGCCAGATCCAGCAGCTCTGGAGGAATTACCAATTGCTTCGGCAACAGAGCTTAAACTAAAAAAAAACGAAATTTTGAGTTTTTATGGAAGGGACTGGTGTCCAATAGACGGGCAGACGATTTGGTAAAAACTGGGAAGATGACATGAAATGATAATTTCTGTACTTTTATCAAGTACATGTTTTCTGTAACACATCTTTTATTTTTCTTTGGCAAAATTCCTAGTATTTTTCTTAAAATCTCTGTTAAAATCAAACTTCATGAAGATCCTGAGTATAAAAATAATTTTAAAAAACATAAATGTCTGAATGCAGGAAAATTAGATTTCAATGACCTATTGATGTATTTTTTAAATTTGCTTATTAAATCCATTTTATGTTTTTTAATGCTTTCTCAATTCCAGTTTATAAACCAGTCAACATAATTACTAACCAGATTTGCTTTAATTTCATGATGTTTCTCATTTTTCTGCTTTACTTTCTATTGATAAAACATTTACTGTAACTATTTCTGTTTTTGTACAATAATCACAACAGATCATCATATTTGGTCAGATTCAGATGTGATTGGAAAATTAAATTAGATCAAAAAATGAAAAAGCTTTTTTTTTCTACAAACAAAAAATGTAAGCAACTTTCAGAAAACTTTACTTCGGCTGTTTGATTCTTCATCTTTGACTCATATACAAAATATTGCTTTACAAAATGATGCCCTTGCTTCAAATAAAGTGCTACTGTCTGACTTCTTTACCTCTGAGTTTTTCTTCCTTTTGTTAAACTTTCAGATCTGCACATTACAATTTAAATAAAAAATATCCTAAAATCTTCACAAACTTCATATCCAGCATTTTGGTTTCACCAGATTTTAGACAAAACCAAAACTTTGCACTTAAAGTTCACCAAACTTGATTGCATGAAGCTTTTCTGGATAATCTGAAGATTTATTGGATGGATGTTGAGTCGTGGTTTTAGTGACGCAGCTGAAGGAGAAAATGCAAATGATTTATGTTTATTAATAGTTCTTGGAAGAAGTATCCAAAGTTGTTCTGCTTTATAAATAGTCTCTGATCAATATAAACTAGAATAATCCATTACTGTTTAAATCTTCCTCTGAATTTCCCCTGCAGAACAGCGACCCCTGCTGACTCCTTTTTGTACATATTCACTCTACCAGAATGTTGCATCTGTTTTTTTCATGAGTTTTTGGGATAAAATAAATATAATCTCCTTTATTTTGACAAAAATGAAACATAACTTTCCTCTTTATTTCTAATAACTTGACATTAATATAAAGAATAGAAATGGACATTAGTTCACACTAAAGCGGTTTAATTTGATGAACTGTATGAAAGTGATAAATTGAACGTTTTCTCCACCATAATAATGTAACTGATTACCTTGTAACAGCAGGACTGGATTATTAACACTCTACAGCTTTAAGCTGATCCATTGGCGACATAATTGGCCTTTTTCCTCTGCATGTTTTTAGGGAGGCAGATTATATTTAGATCCCAGGAACAAAATCGTTAAGATGCAGCTTAGAAAATATGTTTATTTTTCATGTAAACAAGCTGAGATGAAAGTGTTTTTAACTCTTTAGGGTCTTTGTCTTTATTCTGTTTTTTGTTTTTTCCCCTTTTGCCTTTTTGGAGTTTCATCAATGTGTTAAGGAAAGATGCAAACTCTTAATAAAAACTAATAAAGGAAACAACATACACATACTGTCACCTCTGGTTCAGTGTCAGTACATGCTAGCTGCCACCAGGTGGCACTGTTGCTGCGGCTGCACAAAACTTTCTTGTAAGCAGAAAAAATGAGATTTCACGGAGATATTTTCATGCAGTTGCCTGACATAAATTAAGTTAGAAATTGATCCCAAAGGGAAATTAAATGTTGTAACTCATTAATTCAGATTCTTAAAAGAGTTAGTGGTGACTGTTGGCAGGAAAGAGCTCCTGCAGCAGTCTGTATTACAGCGACTCTGAAGAAGCCTCTGACTGAAGACACTTTTTTCCTGAAAGTCTTATGAAGAGGTCGGTCAGGGTTGCCATAACTTTATTTGTTTTTACAAAAAAAACTGTCTTTTTTTCATCATATCTAGAAGTTCAACAAGAACCTAGATGAGAATTTTGTTTCATTATTTCATCCATTTTATGTTTCTGTAATTTCTTTCATGATTTCTGTTCATAAATCTGCCAATCAGATATGTTTGTGATTTTGCTTTGCTTTGATTGATAAAACATTGATAAAACATTGATAAAACATTTACTGAGTTGTTCAATTTCTTATTTAGTACACTGGCTAATATAAATTATTAAAGCTTTGTCAGATCCTGATGTGTTTGAAAAGAGAATCAAACATGTAAAACCACAAAAGACAAGTTTAGTTTTAGAGAATTAAATTCTAAAAATCTGAATAGTGTGGATGTATTTAATTTTTAATAATAATTGCTGCTATGGACCAGGTGTGGGCAACATAAAACCTTTCCCCCAGACATTTGCTAAAGGTGTTAAAAGTTACATCCTGTGACTTTTAGCTTAAATAACCACAAGCTGTTCATTTGCTGGAAACATGAAACCAGAGATGATGTGCCAATGCACAGACCGGTTTGAACATCCTTTGTGAAGCTACGACCACATGAACATAACCACATAAAGCTCCATTTCACAGAGTCTCCACTATCACTGCATGAACAGGCTGATTTTTGGCAGCTACTGACACGTAGCGCTGCCATGCGCTTTGAGACTGAGGGCTATCAGCAGGAGATTGTTGTCAGAAAGGGAAACTGTAAGTCATCGTACTGCAAATGTGCGGGGTTGAGGTGGGGGGGTTCGATGATGGCCCATCAATGAATACTCAGTCCACACTGAGGATGTGACTCCCCAGTGTTGAAGCACTGAGGAGGGACAGTATTGTCCAAGTGTGCCGTTTGGAGACTCCAGATGGCACACTTGGACAATCACCTGTACATCCTCATAAATAAATGTCCAAAATGACATTTATTTTTTGTGCTATTTTTGATTATTAATGAAATCCATGAGCAGAATACTCTATTCAACAGATTTATTGTATTTTCCAGTCCGTACCTTCAACACTCAATTTGTATTTACAAGAAATAAAAATAAAATAAATTCAAGCAAAATTCAAGTTTTTGTGTGTTTCAAACATAATAGCTACAAACCACTTACAGTTAGAGTATTTTTGACTACAAAAATGGAAAATTTAGCTTGTCTTCTTCATAAAGAGACCAAGCTGTTGCATGTACTCCAAATTGTTCAAGAACAGCAGCTGATTTAATTTGGGTATGCCTTTTCAGCCGTGTTTGGTGATTTTGGTCCCATGAGTTAAGGGGTTAAATTAAGGCAATGATATTATATAGGAAGGTTCTCAGTCAACCTGGTCAGATTTATCCAAAACGAGTTAAAATTAATAGAACAGGATCCATTGTGATAATAAAACCCAATCTTCATTTTCAGTGTTGTAGAAAAACTCCAATGTGCCTTTTTTAAAAAGAAGCTCTTTGCCCAAGATAAAATCAAGATATTTATAATTATTATTATTTGTGCACCGAGAGCAGAGGGAAGGAAAAGAGGGATCTCTGATAGATTGAGAGAAAACCATCACTTTTGTCTTATCCATGCTCAAAACCAGCTTTAGAGTATTTAGATGAGTTTGAGTGTTATTTATTGAAGACAAAATCAAATATTTCCACTAAACATTTGCTAAAGGTGTCAAAAGTTACATCGTGTGACCTTTGGCTTAAATAACCACAATTTTTCATTTGCTGGAAGCATAAAACCACAGATGATGTGCAAAAATCAAGCAGAACTTCTGTGGTGAAGCAACAACCACGTCTACAGAACCATTTCATTTTCCACTTGGCTTAAAGTCACAACAAACAGAAGAACCTGCAGAACGACAGAAAGGTAAGACATTTATTTTTATCTTTTTCTTTTTAAAGTTAAGAAAAACTGATTAAGCTAAAAAAGAAGAATTGTTGGAGTCTAGTGTATAAGAAATCGATCACTATGTGCACAAAATGAACCTTTTTAGACCAAAATTTAGCTTTTCTTTTGTCATTTATACATTTTTATTTATACATATTCATTGTTTTTCGGCAGGCAGCAATTACAGACACATCAGGAGACAAAACTAATTATTTTCCATTCAGTTTAGTTCTTTTGCACCAATTCACAATATATTATCTCAAGTCAATTTATTAAAAAAACAAAGAAAAATGTAATTTTCTAAAGTCATTTTTAAAGAAAACCTTATATTACAGCATGTTAGATACTACAATATTTCTAAAAGAAAAAGAAAAAAAGAGGATAATTTCTGCCTTATTTTTATCCAGGGACCAACCTAAAGCTTTGTGCATTCTGATAATAATTATGTATTTGGAACAAATAGAGCAAAACGAGCTGCTCTGTTTTTGGTTAGATGTTTTTCTGAAGCGTTGGACCGAACCATGGAGGAAAACTGCAACAAATATGATGGTTTTAGTTTTCACCAGAACTCCTGCTGCAGCGTTCTGGATCAGATGAAGGATTTTAACTGTATTTTATGGACTTTCTGTCACTAAACAAGTTCCAGCCTTGAAGTAACAAATGCATGGACTGTTTTCTACGTCTCTCCTGGACTGGATATCTTTAATTTTAACCCAGAAATTAGAAAATCAAAGAAACCAGTTTAATATGAGATTTAAACAAGTCCTGCAGGTCAAAAATAACTCAGAGGTTCTTTACTTTGTTACCAGATGCAGGAATGCAAACAGACATTTTGAGCCTCATGGCACAAAGAAATCAAGCAGCTGTCATCACATCTCTGATCTAAAGTCTCTTTTCTCTGCCACGTCGCTCCAACCTGTTGTGGTTTGGTTTTATCCCAGGTAGAGAGGTTTTCCTTTATACGCTCTGATATGGTGAGCGCTGCAGCTGTGGTCAACTCTCCTCTGATGTTTGCAGCAACACTCAGCAATAGAGAATGTCAAGGTTCTGGTTCTGATGGACTCAAATACATCCAAAAACACAAAATCTTACCAACTAATTTTAGTTTAGTTCATGGTGCAAATATCTCAGTATAACAAATAAAACAAAACTAACTTACAAGAAACTTTACAGCAACAAATATGAGCTTGTCAGTCAATAATTTCCTAATATTGATGAAAAAGTTCTGGTTCCATCTGCAGATTAATTCACTGATAACAAGGAGAAATGTCTTGTTATAGGTGAAGTAATAAGAGCCTGATTTGATAATAGAAAATGAATCGAGGCGGACCGGAACCGAACCGGTTAGTTATTGTAAANCTTAAAGTTTTATCAGCATTTTGTGGTGCTGTCCTGATAATGATAAGATTGATTTGTTATTTTTTAAATGACTATATAATTGTGGCGGCACAGAAATCTAACCCCTGCTGCTGAAAAGCTTTTCTATTTATACTATTTCTGTTTATGATGATGTTCACTTTGTAAAATGTCTCAACATCTGCAGAGCCCAGTTTATAAGAGGAAAAATATCAAAAACTCTTGATTATCCATATTTAACTTTTGAGCCTATCAATGTTTTTATTACAGACAAAATAAAAACTAAAGGTGTCAAAAGTTACATCCTGTTACCTTTAGCTTAAATAACCACACAGATGATGTGCAAAAATCAAGCAGAACTTCTGTGGTGAAGCAACAACCACATCTACAGAACCATTTCAATCTGGACAGACTCAGACAGAGAAAGAAAGCGATTAAAGAAAGTTTAATGACAAATAAACATTAAAGTTCGTTGGTGTTCAGGCCCCAGCCGGGGACGTCGAGCTGGAACTTCGATAAGCTCGATAAACATTCCTGATGCTGCATAGGAATGTAATCCCCCCGGGGCCGGTACTGGTGGCGGCGGTTGAAGAAGGATGTGGCCTGAGAGCCGGGAGCAGAAGGTGGAGATGGGCGGAGGTGGGTTGATCACAGCTGGTAAGCGGAGGAGGCCTTGGCCAGGAGGTCCTTTTCAACTGGAGCTCGAACAATGATTGGCCGAAGCGAGGCTTGATCCAACGCTGATAGGTCCAGGGTGAAGAGAGGGAGGCGCTGATTGATGAGGCAGGTGAAGTTAAAGAGTCTTCCAAATTGAATTTGCGCCAAAGCTTCATTTCAGTTGCCACTTTGCTTAAAGTTACAACAAACAGAAGAGCCTGCAGAACGTCAGAAAGGTAAGCAATTTTTTATCTTTTTATTTGTAAAGTTAAGAAAAACTGATGTAGCTAAAATAGAAGAACTGTTGAGTCTAATGTATAAGAAATCAATCACTATGTGCACAAAATGAACCTTTTGAGACCAAAATTTAGCTTTTCTTTTGTCATTTATAAATTTTTTTATTATACGGATGTTGTGTAACGGTTTTTCAGCAGGCAGCAATTACAGACACATCAGGAAACAAAACTAATTATTTTCCATTCAGTTTAGTTCTTTTGCACCAATTCATAATACATTATCTCAAGGCAATTTACAAAACAAAAATGAAGAAAAATGTAATTTTCTAAAGTAATTTTTAAAAGAAAACCTTATATTACAGCATGTTAGATACTACACTATTTCTAAAAGAAAAAGAAAAAAAGAGGATAATTTCTGCCTTATTTTTATCCAGGGACCAACCTAAAGCTTTGTGCATTCTGATAATAATTATGTATTTGGAACAAATAGAGCAAAACGAGCTGCTCTGTTTTTGGTTAGATGTTTTTCTGAAGCGTTGGACCGAACCATGGAGCAAAAATATGATGGTTTTAGTTTTCACCAGAACTCCTGCTGCAGCGTTCTGGATCAGATGAAGGATTTTAACTGTATTTTATGGACTTTCTGTCACTAAACAAGTTCCAGCCTTGAAGTAACAAATGCATGGACTGTTTTCTATGTCTCTCCTGGACTGGATATCTTTAATTTTAGCAATAACCCAGAAAGAAGGAAATCAAAGAAACCAGTTTAATATTAGATTTAAATAAGTCCTGCAGGTCAAAAATAACTCAGGTTCTTTACTTTGTTACCAGATGCAGGAATGCAAACAGACATTTTGAGCCTCATGGCAGAAAGAAATCAAGCAGCTGTCATCACATCTCTGATCTAAAGTCTCGTTTCTCTGCCACGTCGCTCCAACCGTTTGATGTGCGGTTTGGTTTTACCACAGGTAGAGAGGTTTTCCATTAAACACTGCTATGGTGAGCGCTGCAGCTGTGGTCAACTCTGCTCTGATGTTTGCAGCAACACTCAGCAATAGAGATTGAACCGGATTTTTACTGGACAGTGAAAGACTCATCGTGTGGCAATTTTTAAGTTGTTCTTGCCCAATGTAAAATGTTAGCACATGTAAAATGTAAACCTCAGTTTAGTTGTTTTTTAATTAATATTTTTACTAGGAGGAAAGGGGACATGACAACAGGATCTCTAACTGCTAATGTCACAGTGAGCCACATAGTGCAGCTTCTCTGTGACGCCGACAAAAAGGAAAAGAGACGAGAACAAAAGAGAAACCGAGTGTACGGATGGAAAAAGGCTTACAATTCACTTCCTATGAGGATATACATTTTTTTCATAAGTGAACAGGACAAAATATGTAAAAACCAAGTAAAAAGATAAAATAAAAATAAGGTGGAAAAACAAGGAAAAAATGTGCGAGGGGAGGCAGAGTGGGTGGCATCACTCAATCTGGGATCAGAGACTGAAGAGAGTGAAAGAATGTCGTGAAAGGCGCCATAGATTATAGAGTTTAGTGGAGTTGCCTTTCACTGAATATCTAATCCTAATCCTGAATATCTAATCTCCAATTGTAGAGGATTAGATTTTAGAAGGGACATGGTGTCATTGAACCACTGACCGCTAGAGGGCGCTTTAGTTAATATCCGATGAAAAGGAGATGCCATTATGCCAATAAGGAAGTAAATGCTAAAATATCCAATTAATTAGAGGTGAACTGTTTGTAGTCAACTGGGAGCCCAAATATGGGTTTGATAAATGATCTTATTCCACCAGTTCTTTAGACCCAGTTCAAGTTCCCAAGCTGCCTTAACTTTGGTTGAGGAGTCAAAAGACAGAATTTAGAGATGTATGAGTTTTGAAGAGGATCAGCTCAGAAACATCTCCCACTACAGGTTCGGTGGTTTGGAAGGAAAACTGGGAAACAAACCTTTGGCACAGAGTCTAATTTAAAGGTATAGATGAGAAGAAGGGAGATTAAACTCTAATGAAAGGTCTGCAGCTGCTAAAATACCTTCTTTGTAAAAACCATTAAAACATGTCAGCCCTTATTACCCCATGATGAAAAGGTTGGATCTGTGAGCGCCGGCTGAAACAGATCATTCTTCAATAAAGGAGATTTTATAAAGATTTCAATTTGAAGTGTCCTAAATTTTTAATGCAGATCAAACTACTAGATAATTTGTGAAGTCAGAGGGGTTGATGTATTGGGGGAAGTGAGAAGAGCATTTAGAGAGAATGAGGAACACGACTGGGCCTCTAACTGAGATCCACTGATCTAAACCAAATTAAATCTTGTGGATGTGTGCTGCCCAGTAACACAGTAGGAAGTTTGGAAATGACTGAATCCGCCACTGAATTTACATCTATGAAGTTTGGATTGTAGATTCTGGGTTTGTAGTTGTTTTTTTATGTCGGCTGCTGAATGTTGAACATGATGTGGTTTTCAGTGTGCAGGAGCTCTGGCGCCCTCTAGTGTCTATAGGTGCACATCGCTGCCAGAGGCCCAATCCTGCATAGAGGATGGAATATATAACAGAAAATTATTTAATCCAGTTTTTTAATTTGTCTTTTTTACAGAATGGCATCAAAAACAATTCAGATAGTTTGTGTGGTTCTCAGCGCCATCGGGCTGATTGGGGTCATCATCTGCTGCTCCCTGCCTGAATGGTCTGTGGTCCATCATGATATAGAGGTAACAATATAATCAAAAGGCATTTATGGTTGACATTAGCATGATAGTTATGATTAGTTAACTTTTATGCTTCTTTATCAACAACTATTTTGTGTTACTGTATAATTTAACCAGAATGTCTTTATAACAACTGTTATAAAAATGCTGTAGAAATTAAATATAATATTGACTTTGCAGTTTTACGCCTCATCAGAAACGTACAGATTCCTGACATCATCTGTTCTTTTCTAAACTGTTTAAAGACTCAGTGATATTAATTTATATAAAATTCAGGTTTGGATGGGAGTTTAAAAAGATTCTTAAAAAAACAACAAAACACAATTTTGACATTCAGTAAAAAGAAATTAATTAGATTTTTCTATGAGATTTAATATCATACAGCATGTTTAATAAATTGTATGTAAATATCTGTTTCTCTGTGTTTGGGTGGATAGGAAGTTCATGTAGGTCTGTGGAAGGCGTGTGGAAAGCACAGTACTGGACCGCAGGAGTGCCTACCGTATGATGACTCCCGGTTACCCTCTGAAGTGAAGGCCTTCAGGGCCTTGACCATCATCAGCTGCATCCTCTGTGGTCTCAGCCTCCTCCTCCTGATCTTTGGTTCTGACTTCACCCCATGTGTTCAGAATGAAAACACCAAACCCAAAATGATCCTGGCGGCCGGAGTGGGCCTGCTGCTGACCGGCCTGCTGGTGATCATCCCGGTCAGCTGGGTGACACATGATATGAGAAATGCACCACAGGGAGTGATGCTGGGAGCGAGCATCTATATCGGCTTTGTAGCTGGTTTGATGTTGATGCTGACTGGAGGTCTGCTCTGCTACTTAAGCAGATCCAGCAGCTCTGGAGGAACCGCCAGCTTCTTCAGCAACAGAGTTTAAGCTAAAACATACAGAATGTAGAGGCTTGATGGAAGGAACTGGTGACCAACAGACGGGCAGACAAGGGATAAATTTAGGTAAAAACTGGGAAGATGATGTGAAATTATCATTTCTATACTTTTAACATTTGGTGTTTGACTTTTAACATAATTTTCCTGAATGCTGGAAAATTTGATTTCAGTGAACTTTTGATTCATTTTTTTGTTTGCATATTAAAACTGTTTTATGTTTATTTTCTTCATGCTTTCTTAATTCCAGTTTAAAAACCAGTCAACATAATTACTAACCAGATTTGCTTCAATTTCATGATGTTTCTCAGTTTTCAGCTTTACTTCCTATTGATAAATCATTTACTGTAACTGTTTCTGTTTTTGTACAATAATCACAACAGATCATTATCTTTGATCAGATGTGATTGGAAAATAAATAAAATGTATCAAAAAATTCAATTTCATAGAATATGATTAGTTTTACAAAAATATATAAAAAATTAAAGCAACTTAAGAGAAAACTTGATTCTTCATCTCAAATGCAAAAGAATATTGTTTTACAAAATTATGTGTTGTAATAAAGAGTTACCGTCTGACTTTATTGTATCATATATTTCAGCTTTTGTTTCTGTATTTTTCATTTTAACAATAAATGAAAAGTTTTTGCAGATTTTTCATGACTACATATTTTTATGAGTTTTTCTTAAACTTTAATATTGACACATCTCAGTTTAAATAAAAAATATCCTAAAATCTTCACAAACTGTTAATTCATTTCCAGCATTTTGGTCCTTTGGCTCAGATGTGCAATGATACTAACTGCATTTCCTTTACAAATGTGCGGGTTTTTTTGTTTTTATCTAAATTATTTTCTTTTATAATCTGCATTAAATTTATCCTTATCATTGAATAAGAATTTTATTTAAATAAAAGTAAAACAAGCAGTTTAATTTAGAGGTTTTATTTTGTGTTATTGAAAATAAGATATACAAAACATCAGGTTGTTAATCAGTCATTAACAGCTATAATACCAACAAAGTTTAAGTCATAACTTAATAGTTCTTGGAAGAAGTAACCAATGTTTTTTTTTATGAACATGATATTTACCAATGACCAGCAACAGTTGTATAAAATGTGTTATGTCTCGGTTCATGTCTTTATTATTAAAAAAACTATAAAGTCTCTCATCAAAGGTAATTATTTACCCTACAAGTTTACCTGCAGGGAAAAATATTGAATTGGTCCTGCTTTTTATAGTTGTTTAATTATTTAGCCATAAACATATATTAAATAGTCTCTGGTCAATATACTACAACTACAGTCGTCATGGCCAAAAGTTTTGAGAATGATTCAAATGTTAATATTTACAAAGTCTACTGCTTCAGTTTTTATAATGGCAGTTTGCATATAGTCCAAAATGTTATAAAGAGTGATCAGCTTAACAGCAATTAATTGCAAAGTCAATATTTGCCTAGAAAATGAATTTTATCCCCCAAAACACATTTCAACTTCTTTGCAGCCCTGCTTTAAAAGGACCATCAGAGGAGGACGGCCAGGTGTCACCATCCGGGGGTCAGTCTGGACATTGTAGGGAACTATAAAACCCAATCTTCATTTTCAGAGTTTCTAACAAATTTTCTATGGGTTTTTTAAAAGAAAGCACTTTATCTAAAATAAAACCAAGATATTTATAATTATTGACAAACTCTGTGCACAGCAGTGTAAAGCAACAGAGAGATCGCTGATAGTTTAAGAGAAAACTATTGCTTTTGTCTTATCCACATTCAAAACCAGCTTCAGAGAACGCAGATGAGCTTGAGATTTTTTATTGTTGACAAAATCAAATGTTTCTAAACATTTGCGAAAGGTGTCAAAAGTTACATCCTGTTATTCTTAGCTTAGATGATCAAACTCTTCATTGGCATGAAACAAAACCACAGATGTGCAAAAAACAAATCAGAACTTCTTTTGTGAAGCAACAACCACATCTACAGTGTCAATTCAGAGTCACCACTCTGCGTAAAGTCAACAAACAAGGTAAGCAATTTGCCTTTTTTATTTATTTTTAATGCAAAGGAAAAAAAACTGATTTAAATATTGCTATTTCCTCATGAAAAGGAGAGGAGGAACTTTTCCTTTTCATGAGGAAAAAGAAAAACTCCTTATAGGTCCTGATAAAAAATAACAGAGGTTTTTTTGTCATAGGAATCATCAACACCTGTGCAGGTGGTCAGTGAGACATAAGACTGATATTAGGCTTAGTTATTAAAAATTATACTAACTACAAGCAATGAGAACTGAAAAGATGTCTGCTGATATTATTTACATGCTAAAATAATCTGATAATCATCATAATTTTTAAACATAGAAATGGAAAATAAAACGTAACCTACATCCATTTGATGTCAGCTGGGGAATATTCGCTCCGTAAATTAGCAGGAAATTTTCTCTCTATCTAGAACTAGTGCTTGGTATTTTTATTGAGGTCATGAATGTTCAGTTTCACTTTAGTTTTTGTGCAGAAGGACAGTGAAAGACTCATCATGTGGCTCGTTGAGCAACTTTGATACAGGAAGATTTTAAGTTTTTTTGCAGCTAAATTTGAGTAAAATGTAAACCTAAGTTTATATGTAGTAGTTTTTATGTAGGCTGCTGAATGTTGAACATGTTGTTTTTTTCAGAGTTCAGGTGTTCTGGCGCCCTCTAGTGTCCATCTATGCACATCGCAGCCAGAGGCCCAATCCTGCACAGAGGATGGCAGTGGCTGGATGATTGTTACCAAAGCCGGAGGGAAACCTAAGAATATTTAGCATAAAATGATTTAATCCCTCTTTTGTAATTTTTCTTTTTTTGCAGAATGGCATCAAAAGCAGTTCAGATGGTTTGTGTGGCTCTCGGCGCCATCGGGCTGATTGGGGTCATCACCTGTTGCGCCCTGCCTGAATGGCTTGTCCTGAGAAACTACAGCTATCCTGTTCTGGTGGCTGAAATTAGCATGATAACAACGATTAGTTACTGTTATGTTTTTTACTATCACCTATTATTTTATGTGTTATTGAAGAAGTTATGTAGTACATCTGCTTAAATTGTTATAAAATGCTTTTCATGTGAAACAAACTTTGCAGTTGAAATTGGCCTCTGTCTCTTTAAGAAGCTTCTCCTCCGTCTTCACCATGTCATTGCAACAATGCTTCTCATTATGCTGTTTGCAACCATTTTGGGAGCTTTTGAGCTGTAGTCTCCATAAGCATTTGCTTTGCAGTTCTTTGCAGTTTTTTGTAACCATTTTTGGGGTGGAACAATGAGGTTTACCTCTATTTTAGCCCAATATTGTTAATTAACCTCATCTGAAACTTACAGAGTCCTGACATCATCAACTGGGCTTTCCTAAACTGTTTTAAGACTCAGTTATATTAAATTGTATGAACTTCTAGCTTGGATGAGAGTTTTAAAAAAATCTGCAAAAAATAAACTTGCATATTTCTGACTAGGGCTGAAACGATTCCTTCATTAAATGATGTTTATCATTTAGCACACCATGTTCCAGTCGGGTCATTATTTGCGTTGCGCGTAGCTCTCACTTCCACCCGAGTTGTTGACGAAAACTAAGTGTTAGCAGCATAATGTCCAATTTTCAAGTTCTGCCTGGGAGTATTTTATTGATTCATGATAATGTCCAGGTTTTTGTAGTTTTTGGGAGAACAATAAACATCCTTAAAATGACGGGAGCAATGCCTGGAGTTCGGCAGCCTTTCTCCTCTGGGAGCTGCTGGTTCAGAGCGAACGGCGGGATTATTTATACAGGTGAGCGGATAGACCGAACACAGTGGGCGGCGTTAGGTGCGTAGCTTTACGGACGAACTGGAAAATAAATTCATATCATCCCGGTCGTAACAAACGGGGGGCAAAGCGCATCGTGGCGTTACATAGCTGGTAGGACGAAGGAGTCAAATCCAGTCGCTAACATGAACACAAAGCTATAAATGTCTGGGCAAAGTGAGAGTTCATCTATTAAACTGACTGAAGATGGACCAAAAGCTGGAGTTTAGACATTTTAGATTATTGTATAACTTTTCTTCAGGTTAACTTAGAAAGTGAGCTCTTATTGTTACAAGTTAATTTTCTAAACTACAGACAAGTAACTGTTGGGAAGCTCAACTGTGAGAAATTGGACTGATGTTGGTATGCGATAGTAAAACCGCTGTTATGTTAGATTTACCAATGTTTTATTTTATCTTTTTTTTAATCTGATTACTCAATCAATTGAAAGAATAATCGATAGATAACTCGATTACTAAAATTCTGACATTCTGTAAATAGACAATTATATTTTTCTATCTGATTTAAAGTCATTCGTTGCATGGAACACGTTTAATCCAGTGAATGTAAATATCCGTTTCTGTGCAGGGAAAGCCAGTGGGAAACACAAAAACTGGTACAACTTAGAATATACTGAGCCAGAGGAAATTGCTGGATCCACAGGATCCATTGATATGGGACAAGTAAGCAACCTCGAAGTGGTTGAAAATGTCAAGACCAATACTGACAACAGAGATGAAATATTAGTAGTGAACGAGGATATTTTTTCACTTGCTAACAAACTGAACTTGAGAACTGGAAAAGAAACAATGTATTTGTGGAGGAAAAAGATGAAGGTCAGAAATGCATATCAACGAGGTGGGTGTGCACACTCAAGAAAACACAAGTAGACATAGTACCAAAAGCTAGACTGGTTGCAAGAGGCTTTGAAGAATTTAACATTCAAGAACTTTCTAAGGATTCACCCACTTGTTCCTCTGAAGCTCTAAAGATGGTCATAGCTGTTAAAAGCCAAGATAAATGGAAGCTGAACTCCAAAGCAGCTTTTTTGCAAGGTAAAGATTTAACACGGGATGTGTATCTTCATCCACCTCAAGAGGCAGAGTGAAGGAATCGTATGGAAGTTAAATAAATGTGTCTATGGCTTGGCAGATGCTTCCTTGTTCTGGTACAACAAGGTGAAAGAAACCATGCAGAAGTTGGGAGGAACTGTGTCAAAAGTTGATCCAGCTGTCTTCTACTGGCAAGATGATTTCTGTAAGGTGACAGGAGTCCTTGCATGCCATGTAGATGATTTTGTATGGGGTGGTTCAGACANAATACAGAAACAAACATAAAAATCAAAACATCTACAATAGTGACAATAACATTAATAATAAAATAATAGTCAGTGCAAAGTAATTTTCTCTCAATCTAGAACTAGTGCTTGGTATTTTTATTGAGGTCATGAATGTTCAGTTTCACTTTAGTTTTTGTGCAGAAGGACAGTGAAAAACTCATCATGTGGCTCGTTGAGCAACTTTGATACAGGAAGATTTTAAGTTTATTATGTAGTTTTTTTATGTCGGCTTCTGAATGTTGAGCATGTTGTGGTTTTGAGTGTGCAGGAGCTCTAGCGCCCTCTAGTGTCTATCTGTGCACATCGCTGCCAGAGGCCCAATCCTGCATAGGGGATGCCAAGAAGAAAACCCAAGAATTTATCACAGAAAATGATTTAATCCCAGTTCTTTCTCTTTTTTTGCAGAATGGAATCAACTGCAGTTCAGATGTTATGTGTGGCTCTCGGTGCCATCGGGCTGACTGGGGTCACTATCTGTTCCAGCCTCCCTGAATGGATTGTGAGACGTAATGATACGGTAATCATATGATCAAAAGGCATTTTATGGTTGAAATTAACATAATAGTTATGATTAGTTTGCTTTTATGGATTTTTTTGTCAGCTATGTCTTATTGTATAATTAAAACAATATATCCTTATAACAACCGCTATAAAAATGCTGAACACAGGAAACAAACTTTGCAGTTTTACACCTTAAAATTGGGCCTCTGTCTCTTTAAGAAGCTTCTGCTCTGTCTTCAGCATGTCATCACAACAATGCTTCTCATTATACTGTTTGTCATTGTTTTGGGAGTGTTTGGCTGAGTCCTTCCCTGGTTTTTGTAACCATTTCTGGGGAGGTACAGTCAGGTTTACCTCTATTTTAGCCAAATATTATAAATTAACCTCAACAGAAACTTACAGAGTCCTGACATCAACTGGGCTTTCTTAAATTGTCTCAAGATTCAATGATATTAATTTTAATAACATTTTGGCTTGGATGAGAGTTTTTAAAAATTCTCAAAAAAATAAACACATAATTCTTCAGTAAAAAGCCAATTAGATTTTTATATCTGATTTAATAACATGTTTAATAAAGTGTATGTAAATATCTGTTTCTCTGTCTTTGGATGGACAGGAATATCATTATGGTCTGTGGATGATATGTGTAAAGAACGGAACTGGAGCGCCGGAGTGGATAACGTATAAAAACGCCAAGGTGCCGTTACGCTCTGACTTTCATGTCGCCCAGACCTTAATCACCATCAGCTGCATCCTCAGTGGTCTCAGCCTCCTCATCCTGATCTTTGGTTCCGACTTCACCACATGTGTTCAGAACAAAAACACCAAACCCAAAATGATCCTGGTGGCCGGAGTGGGCCTGCTGCTGGCCGGCCTGCTGGTGATCATCCCGGTCAGCTGGTTTTCAACCAACATGAGAAACGCACCAGAGGGAGTGGTGCTGGGAGTTAGCATCTATATCGGCTGGACAGATGGTCTGCTGATGATCCTGACTGGAGTTCTGATCTGGTACGTCAGCAGACCCAAATAAAGCAGCTCTGGAGGAACCACCAAGTACTACAGCTACAGAGCTTCAGCTACATCCGACAACGTAACGTAGAGGCTTGATGGACGGGACTGGTGTCCAACAGACGGGGAGACAAGGGAGATGATGTGGCAAAAACTGGGAAGACGACGTCAAATTATAATTTCTATACTTTTAACATTTGCATATTTTTATTTTGGCATAATTCCCAGAATTTTTCTTAATATCTCTGTTAAAATTTGACTTGAAGATCCTCAGAAAAATTATTTTGAAATGCATAAATGCAGGAAAATTAAATTTCAACAATCTTTTGATGTATTTTTGTTGTTTGCTTATTAAATCCATTTTATGTTTTTTCATGCTTTCTTGAATCCAGTTTAAAAACCAGTCAACATAATTACCAACCAGATTTGCTTCAATTTCATGATGTTTCTCAGTTTTCTGCTTTATTTTCTATTGATAAAACATTTACTGTAACTATTTCTGTTTTTGTACAATAATCACAACAAATCATCATCTTTGGTCAGATGTGGTTGGAAAATAAATAAAATGTATCAAAAAATTTAATTTCATAGAATATGATTTGTTTTTACAAAAATATATAAAAAATTAAAGTAACTAAGAGAAAACTTCAACTGATTGATTCTTCATCTCATATGTAAAAGAATATTGTTTTACAAAATTATGTGTTGTAATAAAGAGTTACCATCTGACTTTATTTTATCGTATATTTCAGCTTTTGCTTCTGTATTTTTCATTTTAAACAATAAATGAAAAGTTTTTTCTGATTTTTCATAACTTCATCTGTTTATGAGTTTTTCTTCCCTTTGTTAAACTTTAATATCTGCACATCTCAGTTTAAATAAAAAATATCCTAAAATCTTCACAAACTGTTTATTCATTTCCAGCCTTTTGGTCGTTTGGCTCAGATGCCAACAGTTTAATCTGCTGACATCAAACCACAGCAGATTTATGAAAGTTACAGAGTTTTGAACTTCCTCATTCAGTTTATAAGTGAAGCCAACGTTGCACCATTTCACATTCGAAGATCCACCTTGTTTAAGACCAGAAGTAACAGAAGAACCTCCAACACCTGATCCAACCACAACTTTTAAAAAGGTAAACACTTTTTCAAAACATTTTTACCAAAACAGAAGAAATAAATTATTGGATTCCTTTTAATGTGGATAAAATTACCTTTATCTTTCATATTTGTTTGCTTTTCAGGATGACTTGAGGATTTATTAGATGGATGTTGGGTCGTTTTTATGACGCAACTGAAGGAGAAAATTTAAATTATGTTTCCTAAGGGAATGTGCAACGATACCAACTGCATTTCCTTTACTAATGTGCAGGTTTTTATCTAATATTCTTGCCTTCACAACATGCATTGCATTTATCTTAGACGTTGAAGAATTTTACTTTGTTTTACTTGTTTTTCTGTTTAATGAATGTGATATTTACCAATGAGCAGCAACAGTTGAATAAAATGAGTAGCTTCTTTGTTCATATCTTTATTATTAAAAAACTATAATGTCTCTCATCAAGGGTAATTCTTTGCCCTTTTTTGTTTGTTTTTTGCTGGATAAAGTGTTGCAAGTCATTCCAGAATATTTTACTGTCCATACATTGAAAATTAGATAGTTTCTAAATTAAATGGCATTCCATTTCTTGGTGGCCATCAGAGTTAAAATCTCCTCCACCTATAATTTTACCTCCAGGAAAAAATAATATTGTATTGATCTTGCTTTTTACACTTGTTTGATTATTTAGCCATAAATATATATTATTATAAATAGTCTCTGATCAATATAAACTAGAATAATCCATTACTGTACAAATCTTCCTCTGAATTTCCCCTGCAGAACAGCGACCCCTGCTGATTCCTTTTTGTACATATTCACTCTACCAGAATGTTGCATCTGTTTTTTTCATGTGTTTTTGGGATAAAATAAATATAATCTCCTTTATTTTGATAAAAATGAAACAAATGTTTCCTCTTTACTTTATTTCTAATAACTTGGCATTAATATAAAGAATAGAAATGGACATTAGTTCACACTAAAGCGGTTTAATTTGATGAACTGTATGAAAGTGATAAATTGAACGTTTTCTCCACCATAATAATGTAACTGATTACCTTATAACAGCAGGACTGGATTATTAACACTCTACAGCTTTAAGCTGATCTATTGGCGACATAATTGGCCTTTTTCCTCTGCATGTTTTTAGGGAGGCAGATTATATTTAGATCCCAGGAACAAAATCGTTAAGATGCAGCTTTAAAAACTGTTATGATTCATTAAAACAACAAAATTTAAATGAGTTTTATAGTTTATGCTTCAAATGTATTGTGACAGAAAAACTGTGTAAAGAAAGACAATAATTATGTTAAATAAATAACACCAGTTGAGTTGAATCATTAACACATTAATGAAATATGACTATTTTTGTCGGCTCCGTCGTTTATTTTTCTCGTAAACAAGCTGAGATGAAAGTGTTTTTAACTCTTTAGGATCTTCGTCTTTATTCTGTTTTGTTTTCTTCCCCTTTTGCCTTTTTGGAGTTTGATCGGTGTGTTAAGGAAAGATATACACTCTTAATAAAAACTAATAAAGGAAACAACATGCACATACAGTCGCCTCTGGTTCAGTGTCAGTGCATGCTAGCTGCCACCAGGTGGCACTGTTGCTGCGGCAGCACAAAACTTACTTGTAAGCAGAAAAAATGAGATTTCACAGAGATATTTTCATGCAGTTGCCTGACATAAATTAAGTTAGAAATTGATCCCAAAGGGAAATTAAATGTTGTAACTCATTAATTCAGATTCTTCAAAGAGTTAGTGGTGGCTGTTGGCAGGAAAGAGCTCCTGCAGCAGTCTGTATTACAGCGACTCTGAAGAAGCCTCTGACTGAAGACACTTTTTTTCCCTGAGAGTCTCATGGAGAGGTCAGTCAGGGTTGCCATTTATACACTGACCGCTAGAAATTACTAAAGCTTTGTCAGATACTGATGTGTTTGAAAAGAGAAAATTAAATTCTAAAAATCTGAATAGTGTGGATGTATTTAATTTTCAATAATAAATGCTGCTATGGGCCAGGTGTGGGCAACATAAAACCTTTCCCCCAGACATTTGCTAAAGGTGTTAAAAGTTACATCCTGTGACTTTTAGCTTAAATAACCACAAGCTGTTCATTTGCTGGAAACATGAAACCAGAGATGATGTGCCAATGCACAGACCGGTTTGAACATCCTTTGTGAAGCTGACCACATGAACATAACCACATAAAGCTCCATTTCACAGAGTCTCCACTATCACTGCATGAACAGGCTGATTTTTGGCAGCTACTGACACGTAGCGCTGCCATGCGCTTTGAGACTGAGGGCTATCAGCAGGAGATTGTTGTCAGAAAGGGAAACTGTAGGGAACTGCCAATAACTGATGCAGACTTTGTGCCCCAGTGTTGAACCATGAGCCTCCTCTCTTTGGGCCGAGGAGAGGCTTTCATGTTTAAAAGACGTTGCTGGGAGAACTGGACTTCCTGACTACGTCTCCATGATCTTATGGGGATGTAGATACAGGTTGGTGAAAAAGTTGGAACCAAAGTTGTATTTTTATTTTCTGTTGATTTAAAGATTCACATTCTTTGTGATCTTTTAAGCCTTTTCCGGTTAAATATACGACTATACATACATTATACTAAAGAAACGTTCAAGCAAGAGTAAATTCCCATGAAAACAATCTAATTAAGTGAATTATGACATTGTAATGTACTATTATTGTCTGGGAAGGTTCCCAGTAAACCTGGTCAGATTTATCCAAAACGAGTTAAAATCAATAAAACAGGATCCATTGTGATAATAAAACCCAATCTTCATTTTCAGTGTTGTAGAAAATCCTCAGTGCGCTTTTTTTTTAAAAGAAAAGCTCTTTATCCAAGATAAAATCTAGATATTTATAATTATTGACAAACTATTTGTGCACCAAGAGCCGAGGGAAGGAATAGAGGGATCTCTGATAGATTAAGACAAAACCATCACTTTCATCTTATCTAGGGCTGTTGTAAACAAATATTTTAGTAATTGAGTAATTTATCAATTATTCTTACGATTAATCGAGTGATCGGATAAAAAAATTGACAAAATTAAATATCGGCAAATTTGGTGTAACACCAGTGTTTCTATCGGATATCAGCCCAATTTTTCAAATTTGAGTATCCATAGCAATTACGTTTTCACCGAGGCTCTGTAAGAGCCATATGAATGAAATAAGTAATTATTGATATGACAGGAGC